ACATTTACATTTTAAAATGGAAATAAATTTTGGTTTTAAGGAAAGCAAATGGGGTAGGAGTGGACACCTTCAACTGCAGAAATGGAGAAAATTTGGAACATAAGATTGATGTTTCTCTGACTTGTGATTATTCAAGTTCAACAAGGGTTTGGTGGGGTCTGAAGGAGGGTAGCAGGATTCTGTCTGCCTTTTGGGTGTTTTTCCCCAACATACCAAAATGACCAAACCAAGGTTGCTATTTGCAGAATAGTGACTGTCTATGTGGCTACAGAAACTTGGAATGAAAAATCCTGGAACCTGGTGCTGCCTTGAGTGTTTTTGGTTTGCTGGAGTTTTTTTATTTTCCATCAGCCAGCACTTGCTTGCTAAAAGAAACTGCATCAGGCCTGTGCACAACAGCTCCACTTCAAGTGTGTGCTAAGGGTGACTCAGCTTCTAAAGTGTGTCATTCTTTGAAACAAATCTGAGTGGGAAACTGAGGATAGAAAAGGGAATCATTTCTTGCTCAAGGTCAGCCAAGGATCTGTGGTGCGAGAGAGAATATTTGGCAGTAATTCTTTGTTACCATGTTTCTGAGTTGCTGGTGGGAATTCTTCCAAAACAAATCTAGTCCAATGATCTAAATGACTTATTTTGTAGTTTACTTTCTGTGTTGCTGCCTTTGAATTAGAGTTAATGAATTTCCTACTTCTGTCACAGGAGACTTATTTAGAAGACCGCCAAAGAGTTCTCCTAAAGTTTTCGGCAGCAAAGCACTGTTATTCCCTGCTCTGTATGGCCCTGTTCACTTGAGTGAATGGTAGAGGCAAAAGGAAGTTGTTGGAAGGCTCTTACCTATTTTCCTCCTTTAAGATAATGTTAAATGAATTTTAATTTAATTTAAAATGTTGATAGGAATCCTGGCGTGGACCTCTTTGGAGAAAAGAGGTAGACTTCACTGTAGATAGAACAGTCAGAAGAAAGGAAGATCAAATAGAGGAGCTCACCAAATACAGCTATCTCTGGAAGAAAGAGCTGGGTTGGACAGGAGAGCCTCCTCCTGTGTCAGGCACATCTGTCCTTTCCTGCACTGCCTTCAAAAGTCATAAAAGAAAAGATGAACACCTTGGTTTTCCTATAGGTGTTTTACCGGAGACCATATAATCTCTATATAGCTGTTTTCACACCTGCAGAAATAATTTTTTTCCTTTCCCCCCCCCCCCAAGTGCTGTTAAAAGAGAAATACTCAGTTTGCTGAAGATGTAAAAACCACAGCAATGGTGAAAATGCCTTAAGCAGTTGGTCTTGCAGAGTAGTCAGAGATGATGGATAGCATCTCAAGGCAGAGAAAGAAACGGGTTTTAGAGAATGTTGGAAGCAGAGGTAGAAGCTTTTAATGATGTTTGATGCACAAGCATAATCTAGGCCTATACACTTTTCTCAATTCTCAGTTAATTTGATGTCAATACAAGGCTTGTACAGCAACAAGAATTGATTTTTCTTTTTCTTGTTCCACCAAAGCTCTTGTCATGGTAATTGTTTGTTCACTGTCTTTTCTCACATTGAGACATCACTTTGGGGAAAATATATTCTTCTTGAGAATCAGCACAGTTTCTGTTATTTCTAAACCTTTCCCATCCATTCACTGTTTTTTCAACCCTGTTTTAGTGAATGATCTTAAAACTGTAACTCCCATTTCACTTTTCATCTCTTTTCTCACCTTCAGTTTCATCAGCTAAAATAATTTGCAGGAGAACATTTTGTGCTGTTGCTTAAGTGAGCACTGAGCTTTATACTACAATGAAATGAAATGAATGGCATTGTTCATGGGGAGGTATGCTACTTGGAAGCATTTTCAGGCTCAAAGCTTTTTACCATAGCCTGAAAGTGAAATCTGTATCAGCTAATCTTGAAAATACAAATTATGTAAGTCTCATATTTGGGACAACTCAAAGCATATGTATATGTAAACTTTCTTAAATGTGGTTTTATGTTTTGTGGTGTCTAGGTATGTCATGCAGGCCAGAAACATGTCATGTGGTCTGGATCTAGCTTGTGCATTCTTCCTGGTTAAAGTGATTCTGGTCTGTTTAAATTTCGCAGGATTTTGAGACTATCACCAGAACTGGTGCCACATCCTGCTTCAACGTCCCACCCATCAGCCTTCTGGCCCTTCTAGGGTCTGGGCACTGAAACATTCCTTTTCCTCTCCCCCAGCAACTCGTAACAGTCTCTTTTATATCAGTAAAACTAATTCCTCCCCCGCCTTATCTTTTTAATTTGTTAAATAAACTTGTTTTCATATTATCTCAAGGGCTCAAATATAAGGGCTCACTTACAAGTGTACTACTTCTAACTATTCATTCTTTACTGAAGTACCTTCAGTGTAAATTGAGTCAGAATAGCATGAGGTCCCCTTAGGAATTTCAGCTGTTTGATCATGCAACTGATGTTAGAGGGAAGGACAAGAAAATGCCCTCTCATAGAGAATGCAGGTGACTTGCTAGAAGATAGCTCACTGTAGATGATATACAGGGTTGGTCCCAACTTACATGTTTATTTGGTTTTACTTTTAATTTGTCATGTAAAGTATTTATGCATTTTGATATGAAGCATAACTTCCTAATGAGACCATACCTGCTATGGGAGGGAGAGTTTGTGAGAAGATGACAGTATGATGACTGCATTCTGAAACAGGGATTTCTGCAAAGTGCTAAATGAATTCACATTGATCTTGCAAATCTGGAGGATCTAGGTTTTGTCTGTTGGTACACAGGAGGCCCCTTTCAGCTCCTGGTGGCTTTGACAGAAGTGCGAACAGGCCACAGCTATACTACGGACCTATTTCCATAGGTTCTACATGTACATGTTCAATTAATACATGTTACAGTGCCATTTTTGGTGCTTCTGTAGTACTGTTGGAAATTCATTTTACATTTCTCCTTTTCCTGTTTGTCCTTCTGAGACCTGTGTTATTTTGACTTGTGAACATCCTGGGAGGCTGTACCTCCCATAGCACTGCAGCTTCTGTCTGGTGTATTGACCTTCTCGGAACAAATTCATTAGTGGTTGGCATGGACTCCATGGTTAGTTTTAACTCCCTGCCCCCCAGTTTCAGAGTCAGCTATAGATGATTAGGCTATTTTCTTCTTGCTGGGAGCAATTTGGATTTAATTTATTTTAAATGTTCTCTATGAGAATTACACTGCTGCTCAACTTTTTTTTTCTTTTCAGAGTGCCCTTCTACACAGAAGTATGCTGTGAATGTAACTTATTACAGTTTCCATCCCTTTGGACTATTTCTTTCTCTAAGGCCCTCAGCTTTTCCTTGTCATGGTGTGTCTGTTCAACACCTGTCATCTGCTGTTAGGCACTGATCCCAGTGTTGTGGGACTGTCACACCAAAAGACCTTTGTTCGGTGCTTATAACCACATGAGCCCTAGGGAAGGCAAGTCTTGCTTTCTTTCACAGTCACCTAGCTAAATCTTTATCTGTGTTAGCAAAAAAAAAATGCAGTGGAAAGAACTGAGACAGCTGATACAGAGGTTTCTGACTGTAGCTCTTGAACATTTGGTGCCGTATTATAGCACTGTTGCATCTTCAGAAAGCATTGCTTTCTAGCTGAGGTATAAGCTCAAAAGTTCATGCAATTGGCTGGTACAGGGCCAACACTTTGGAAGAATTGCAATACAAATAATTTCCACTTCCCAGACCTTACAAAACATATTTTTTATGTAAGCATGTGGATCTCATTTATATCCCTATTGAATAATCTTAGTAGGAAGAGCCTCTGCATACAGAGTGGTCATCTTTGGTCATCCTTGTTGCCTTTCACTTAACCTTTTCCAGTTCTTCTCCAGGGGAGGGTATTAAATGCAGGATAGAATAGTGATGGTCTCTGCTTTGGCCTCTATTCCTTTCCAAATAATCCTGAGCACTCTTACACTTCTGTGAGTAAAGTTTATTTTCTGCTGCTGAGCACTGAGCTGGTGTCTCCATGGAACTGTCTGTTCTAACGTTGAGATCTTTCTCCTGGGTGGTAGTGATCTGTTTGGGGTCCATCACTGCATGTGTGAGGTTGGGATTGGCTTCCCTCTGTGTGTTCCATTTCACTTGCCATTTTGTTATGCAGTCATTCAGTCTCTAGTTCCTTACAGTTTCCGTCCTTGATACTACCTTGAATAACTCAGAGTCACCAGAAAAGTCTCACCTCACTGTTCATGCCCTATTCCAGATCACAGATGAATACTGGGTGGCATATGTCCCAGCATGGGAGCCTGAAGAACTGCACTGTGACCTCCTCCCTCCTATTGCAAGAATGGAAAGTTTACTCCTCCCACTTCCTATTTTTAGCCAGATGTTTATTATACAAGGACTTTCTTAGTTCATAACTGCTAATGATTCATGTCATGGCTGCTTACATCACCTAATTTCAAGTATATATTGTAAAACCACCTTAGAGAATTGACTTTTGTATTCTTTCACGTTTAGCTGATACACTGTGGACTCATCAGTGAAAATGTGTCATAAATAATAACATGATAAGAAAATCTTCAACTCTTCTACCTGGAGTTTAATCTACTATGTATATAGGTCCCCAAATAGATCACCGAGTATAATATATTAAATGTAATTTGGTGTAATTCAATATAAAGGTTCTGCTGGCATGCTGACTGAGTGACATGCCAAAGTCAGCTCACCAGGACCTCCAGGTGGAATTTCCTGTGCGTACTTTAACACATGCATTTTATATATGTTTGAATATACCTTATTTTCTTGTGCATACTTTAACACATGTATTTTATAGATGTTTGAATATGGTTCATTTCTACATGTGACATTTCTTTATACTTCAGAATTGTTTTGTACCAATAAAAAATGGGCAGAGACATTGCTATGCATCAGCAGTGCTTCTAGGTGTTGACTTCATTTCAGTGGAACACCTGGATTTCTTACAGGTTCTTATTACCCGGAAGAGTAATTTAATAGTTTTTTTTTTATAATAAAGACAAATGTTTAGAAAAATTTCTGCTTACTAAATGGGCTTTTCTCTTCCTGGTGTAACTCAGGTGTAATGTCTTTGCTGAGACCTCTTTTGCTGGATGTCGTCCCAACTATTCAACAGACTGCTGCTTTGGCTCTTGGGAGACTTGCCAATTATAACGATGACCTGGCAGAGGCAATCGTGAAGGGAGACATTCTTCCACAGCTCCTGTGTTCATTGTCTGAGCAGAATGTAAGGCATCATTGTCTTTTTAAGTAATCATTTTTTTTAACTATTGTACAAGGAAAGGGAAAATGCTCTGTATCAGCTATCTGGTGTTATTCTAATACAGCAATAAATGTACTGAAGCAGAGACAGCATGTATGTTTAAACTCCTGAGAGATCCATGTGTACTGTGTGCCTAAGTTTGGCTTTAAATAAGCTTGACTTTAAAACATCATCTTACCTTTTAGTGCACTCTAAAAAATCTGTTCATGGCACTGCTATATTTCTGAAATGTTGAGTGATGCTTTATGAAAAGTCCCTCTTTAAAAATGAGACAATTTGAAAGCTGTAGTGATAATTGACTAGGATTTGTTGATAATACCAAACACTTGTAAAATACATATAAAAACCTGTACTTATGTAATGAAATATTTAATATCTCCAAACACAGCCTTTTGGAAATCTGTAGTGTGATAAATATCAAACCACTGACACGGAAAGATTTTCATCTTCATATTTGTAAAAAAACCAACCAACCAACAAAACCCACAACAAAAAAAGTGTTGTTATGGTTGCAATGCAAATAAATCTGGTGGTCTCTTTTTATCCCTTCTTGCCATTTTTCTTCAGGTTTTGCATATTTTCCAGCTTTGATTTTACAATGATGCTAACCTAGATTAACATAAATACTTTCAAATAAGGTTCCTATTAACTGGAAACAGACAGCTGAGAATTAAGTGCATTGCTAGATACTTAATAGTATTCAATATATATAAGGTATATTTGATACTTAGATAGAAGTTTTGATTTATTATGTTTAGAAGAAGTAGTATTTCAATGGAAATATAATTTGGAAAACCAAATATTTTCATTTTCAGTCTTTGAAGGAAATATAAATGTAAGTACTCATTGCATATTTTTTCTGTATATCTGGTCATTGCCTATGCAATTAATCTCAAAAAAAACCAACAACCCGCCTGAAGAAAAACCTTGAAGTCAAGATACTGGTATAGTGTGAAAAGAAAGCTAAGGTTTTAGTTAGACAAATTTATAACTGTTCTGGTTATTTTATTTCTATTTTTAAAGGAAGAAGGGGGACAAAACTCTTTATCCTCTATTTTTGAGTTGGAAACCACCCCCTGCTACAACTCAAAGCCCTCACTAAATTAGCTTGAGTACCCTGATTTATCTCTTCCATGTTACTGGCCATGCTGTCCTTACATCGAGATAGCTGTAATTCAGAATCACTTGGAGCAGCAGCAAGATTAGTGTGAGGTCAGGGAAAGCCTACTATGCCTTGGTGACTGAGGGCAAGTGAAGGAAACTCATTATCCAGTTCATGCAGAGTTTAGCAATGCATGCAGTTTGTTACTTCCCATAGGCAAAAAAACCCAACCCAGATACGTTTCCATTGGACTCACTCTTCCTGTATCAACATCTATATTTAAGGAGATTTCTTTGAGCACACAATAAGTACTGATTCTACTGATTATGGGGAACGCTTACAGGATCACATCCCAGATCAATGTTTTATCAATTAAGCGGAGTAAAATGCAGTTTTACAGTGTGTTCTGACTGTGCCTGTGGATACGGTTTGTTTGTAAATAAATGTGTTTTGAATAATAAAAACAAATAAGTGTTTTTCCTTGCCAGAAGCATAACAGAAATAACATACCCATATTTGCACAGACATAAACTGGTGTAAATAGCTGTAGCTCCATTGAGTTCAGCAAAACAGAGTAACTTGCATTAGCTAGGGCTTTGACCATTTGTCTGTAGTGTTTTCCTTCTGTTCCTCCTAAATTATGTTTAATGTTTTGCTTGTAAATTATGTTTAATCTGCCTGCTTGTAAACCTTAACTTAGAAGGCTGGATTTTTTGGCATTAAGGAATTGTATCAGTACTGGTAAACTAAGCAGGGTCAGGGCATGTGTTTGTGCACTGGGAGATGACTGTGCTCTTTAATCATTAATGTGCTCTCTGATGTGTTTTTTTTAGCCAATGCCAACCATCAAACTACGTGGCAATGCCTGAACATGGTTTAGGGAATAGCAAAAGGTGGGACAGAGTTTCCAGATCATAGATGAGGCCATTGTGCTTTCAAGGAAGAGGAGTTTAGGTGGATGGATGGGGTACATACGCTCTGTCACTTCCCTTTAGGGCCAGGGAGTGGGCCTGACTTCCTGTGAAGCCATTGCAGTTACACCTCTGTTGCCATACCTTAGTGCTTTACATCAGAGTTTCAGAGGTGTTTGAGCACCTCACAGGATGCACAGAAGCCCTCATGTGGTTCTTTGTTTCTCTGGACTTGATCCAAAAGGGATGTGGGCTTTGTATTGTTTAAGTTTTAGGTACCTTGACAGTAAGAATTGAGCACTGTGAAGTGCCTGGGCTCCCTGTGCAGAGCAGAGGAGAATCAAGCATCTTGGAATGATATGAAAGCCAGCAGACACACAGAGAGAGCCTCCAGATCTAGTCTGTAGGGCTGACCTGTCAGCTGCTGGGGACATAGACATAGCAGTAGATTATTTGTGTCCCAGTGAAACTTGCACTCATTGCTGCACAGTGGTTTCACAAGGGAGGGGAACTGTCTTTCTCCTAGTGCTGTCTGTAGCCAGAGTGTTTTACATGGGCTCTGGATTTTGAAACTCTAAGGCAGGGGAAGAAATTTGATCTTCAGCTTCCACATCCTAGTGATAGCCAGGAAACTGCAGGAGGAGGCTGAAATGTGACTTTTGAGGGGGATGACTTTAACTGTGCTTTTAGAAGAAACCACAACCGCCACTGTAGTTTACATGGAACACCATGATGCGCACAGCATCATATCTCATATATATGCTCAAAACGTATTTGGCCCAGTAATGAGGGAGATGAGTAGAACTGAGAAAAGTGCTGGGTTTTCCTTGAACTTATAACAGAAGTGCCAAGCTGCTTAGTCCTGTTGAAAGTGAGGTGTTTCTGGACACATGCAGGAGTAGGATTGCTGCAGGGTGTCTGGTCAAAACTGAGGGTCATCTAGTGTTGGGTGTTTGGTAGAATGGGTTTTCAGGATCTTAGCTGTGGGCTTGGGCAGTATTTAGCCATGCCAGGATTCAGATCCTAAACACTTCTGTTGGATTGAGTTCTCTGTGCCTCTGTTTCCTCTTTGTAAATGTAATTGGTGTTTTTCTCATAGAGATGTTGTGAGGGTATATACATTAGAAATTGTGAAAATTTGCAAGTGTCACAAATGGGTGGAATTATTTTAGGAGCTTGCCCTGTGTAATCTGGCCAACTATGTTAAGAGCTATTGTTTTTGCAGCTCTTATCATTCACTATTCACTTAAACAAACAGAGTTATCTAGAATATTATCTTTCCCCCATATCCTTTTAGCCCTCTGATTTTTTTCTGTTTGTTTATGCACTTACTGCAAATTTTAGATCATGAACTGTTTCAAATAAGGACTGTAAGGTTCATTGTGTGATGTCTGGTGGTCCTGATTTGGATCTGTATGAGATACTGCTGCTACTAAAAAGCCTAATTTATGCATGTTCATACTGTATTATGCTTTGAACTTCTTAATGTTAGTAAAAGTTGGTTGTTTTTTTTCCTTTTCTGATTTGTATAGCGTTTCTACAAGAAAGCAGCTGCATTTGTGCTAAGAGCAGTTGGTAAACATTCTCCGCAGCTAGCTCAGGCAATAGTTCAGTGTGGAGCACTGGAAATGCTTGTGATTTGCTTGGAAGATTTTGACCCTGGAGTCAAAGAAGCTGCATCTTGGGCACTTGGGTATATTGCCCGACACAATTCAGGTAACAGGTTTCACATGTGTTATCTTTCAGCTTAATGCTATGTAAGAATTATAATAAATTGCATTATTGTAGTGTTCATAAATAGAACAAGATGCTTTTTCTTCTCTACTGTTATAAAATTTTAAATTTGGAGTAAAAACCTACTCTTAACTATACCGATCTAACAACACTGTACCTTTTGTGGGAAACTGGCATATCTGACATCAGCAGTGCCTGGTTGTGAGAGATGCTCTAAAAGGAGATGGCCTTTTAGAGCCTAGCCTTTAGTGGCCAGGAAAGGACACTCTTCTTTATTCTCCCTCATAAAGAAATGTCAGAATCTTTATGTATTGTGTAGTTGTTACTGCAGAACAAGTTTCATTTGCTTGATGTTGTTTTTATTTTATGTTCATGGTAAAATGGAGATGCCTAGGCAGAACCAAGTTTCATTCAGCTTACAGCAGTGCCTGCAGAATAAATGTGCCAAATTCATTGCACTATATTATCATTAGCCAGTAGACCACACTCTTCTCAGAGTCAGGAATAGATCCTAGGAATCTGATATCAGGCAGTTCAGTGCTGTCTCACAAGCAGTTGTATAACTCACTGGCAGTGTCATATTCCTATTTAAAAGCTGATTGACATGGTTGATAATTCTTTTACCAGCTATTTATATAGTTCAAGTAAAAGTTTAAAGCTATGAATCAAGGAAAAAGGAAAGGAAGGAAGGAAAAAACTGCTGGCTAGAAAGGGTGGGAGAAATTGCTTGTGTCCCTGTTGTTTAAAGTTAAACGTATTCTAGGATCATAACATTAACTTATGCATTTATGTCAGGTTTTGGCTCTAAAATGTACATAGACTGAATTTGGAAGTGATTTTCTTCTTCCCTTTTTTTTTAATTGCTATGGAGTGTTGGACTGCAGAAGGCATGGAGAGTTTCCCCTTCCCGCTTAGAGAGAGGGTTTACTTCTGGGACAGGCTCCAAAGTTGTCAACCCCTTCCTAACAGGCTGCTTTTTCTGGGGAACAAATTAATTCTTGGGGCACATCTGCGTGCTAAAGATCTTTTATCTTTTGGTCACTAGATCTGGATCCCACCCTTGGTGGAAAATTATTGTTGCTTCCACCTGAAAGGTATTTGTTTAAGTGTCATTTGAAAGTGTTCGTTTGTATAAATGTATGTAGTATAAGTGTGTGTCTGTGTTACTCTTTACATAAACATTTCTGTAGTTTTGTTATGTCAGTAAATCAATATTGACTCACTTCAATTGCCCTTCATGCTATTCACTGCATGAATGCTGGCTGATCTTTAGGGTGATTCAGTTCACTCTCTGATGGCATTGATGGAGGTGATGTGGGGGTGTTGAAAACAACAAACTCCTTGTACACATTCTTATTCCATGATTATGAATTATTTATTCACTGACATTGAATGGGTCCATGTCTCATGTCAATTGACGACAGCAATAAGAACAGCATTTTCAGAAATTAGATTGAAATTGCGAGTGCTACCAAGCTGCAACCATCAGGACATAGATCATTAGATGTAATCAGTGGAAAAAAACAACCAACAAACAAACAAAAACAAAAAAAAGCCCTGAAAAAAATGTTTTTCCTCCATTCAGCTATGGCAAATTTAGGGGGTTTACCTTCTTCTGTAACATAGTCACAGGAAGCCTCTAAAATTATTACTGAAAGTAGAGGAGTTATACTGAAGAAAGATCACTCCGTGCATGGTATGTTTCTTACACTCCTACAAGCATGCCTTTGCAACCGGATATTGTTGGAGATGGGATACAAAGATGGATGGACCTGTTCTTATCAACATCTGGTGTTTACTGTTCAAGAAACTCTGGATTAGACTCACATGCTTGTGTTGACAAAATTTAGCTGGTATGACTTTCTGTTCTTGACTGTCTGTGGACACATACTGCAGCTTACACTCTAAAAATAGAGTTGGGTGTGAAGTGGTTTTCCCCACCCATGAAAGGTTTTTCAGTTTCAAAAATTGTTTCAGTTCCAAACTGGGACAACATTAAGACAAGATTTTTTTTCTCTCCTGAAAAGACTGAGGGGGAGGGGGACTTATTTGCCCCAGCAAGAATATTTCAATAATTAGGACATACGTCTGGGATGTATGTGGGAGATAGATTAAAGTCCTGATCTGTCTTAGACAGGATGTGAACCTCTGTCTCCCTGAATGCAAGCAAAGGCTCCCAGCATTTGGCAATAACTGTTCGCAATGGGAGGGTCTCTCTGCTTTTAATCAGAAATTCCATCTGTGACCTGGTAAAGCTGCTTTCTAGGAGCTGTGGTGTATGTTCCCATGAAAAGACTTACATTTTGAGAAATCAAGCCTTTTTTTTTTTTTTCTCCCCACAATGAAAACATTCTCTGGTTAGCAAGTTCACTACTGTCTTCATACAACAATCTCTTAAAATGCAGTTCTGTGAACAGATGTCTCCAGAATGCCTGTGAGATTTTAGGTCAAGACAGATGTCTCATGAGATTTAAAGACACTAGAAATCTTGCCAGGTCAGATTCCAAAATTTAGGAACAGCTCTTGCAATTCTGCACCTGAAGAGTGAATTTCAGACACTGATCTTACTCCAAAGTATACAGATCAGTGTGCTGAAATTTTGCCGTTCATTATTTCTACTATTTGTGTTTGAAAAGAAATGTAAAGTGTATCATCAAAATATCATCAGGACCATTAAAAATATTTTGTAAATTTTCACTTATACTGTATTCAGTTATTTTTAAAATGCAAAGTGCTTGTATTTTAGATATGCAAATAATCTAGTTTTCCATTTGGTTTGCCTACACAAAAGGTGTAATTTATTGTCTCTTACCTGCTTCAGCATATTGTAAATTGGTACAAAAGCAAAAATAACCACCACTATTTATACTCAAGCTTATTTGCAAGAGTGGAGTTATGCTCATTTTCTGTCATACAGTGTTACTCTTAGGATCATAGAATAGCTCAGCTTGGAAGGGACCTTGGAGGGTCTCAAGTCCAGCTTCCTGCTCAAAGCAGGGTCAGGTACAAGGTATGGGGAGGTTGCTCAGCTCTTTGATTTGAATCCAGCAGTAACTTGGTCTTATTCCAGGATCTAAGCTTGCCCCATAATTAACAGCCTCCATCCTTCTCCTGATGAAATATTTTCCCACTGGTTCCAGTGGAATCTTTAGCACTGTGGTTGTAGCGGTCTGCATAAGCCTGTGATTTTGAAGTGCAGCCTTTGGACTACTTGTGGGTATTAGAGTCTTCCTATGTGGCCATTACATGATCACATGGTCCTCAGAAATATGCAGTATTGGTGATTGGTTTGGTCAAAACCTGTTATTTCCTGTGGATTCACCTGCCACCACAGCAGGGGCTGCTTGAGAACCCTGATCTGGACTGAAACTTGCATTTGCTTCCAAGCAAAGATGTTTTTGCTGCTGCACCACTATGTGAATATGGCATTTGTTCAGAGCCAATTTTCCTTCTCTGGGGAATACCTGCACATTCACTTTCTCACTTTATCATTGCGTAGTTGGACAGGTAACTTGAGCTGTACCTCAAACTGAAGTTCCAAAATCAGGGTTTTAATAACTTTCTGTGGAATTAAATGAGGTTCATAAGTTACTTTTTCTCTGCTGTCTTTCTCCCCTTCAGCCATTGGTCTTGACTTTGCCCTTATAATGGAGTCTTGTCATAGTGTTCAGAAAAATATTTTTGTAATTTGTTCCAGCTCTTTTAATTTCTTTGACTGAATATTTGTTTTTAAAAATTTCTTCTTGACAACTGAATTTTCTCCTTTAACTCTTTTTCAGCCTTCATTTTTCTTCACCACCTGTTTGTTTTTTGTAACTGGATACCAAAGTTTTGTGAATCCTTTGGTATATAGTCTGAACTGAAGATGTTCAACCAAGTGGGAAGGTTAATTGAGCCTCTTTTTGTGAAAAAAAAAAAAAAAGAATTACAATTATCATAGATTCAGTAATAGTTTTGGGCTGAGTTTGCAGGGGAATGTGATGGGAAGGTCTGTATTTTCTTTTGTCCCTGCCTCAGCTTTCCTGTTTTTCTGTCAGTCTGTTTACTGCTTGTCCAGCCCTCCATGTGGTAAGTTATTACCTATGAACCTTATAAACACCACTGAAAGAACAACCGTTTAATTAACCATGACCAACAGTAGCCATCAGTATTTAAATGATATCAGACTTCTAACAGAGCTGGTCTAAATTGAATCAGATTTAGTTTGCTCTTTAAAAATAACTTCTATAGTTATTTTTTGCATGCAGGGATATAGCTGTGACCTTAAAGTATTGCTCTTTCTCTCCCTACTTGAACTTCATAATTTCAGCTCATAAGGCATCAAAGAAACCCATTCTTGCAGTAGCATCCTGTCCCTCTTGACATGATTTTCCTGATGTTAGCATCTCCTAGCTGATTGTAGGCAATTGAGGTAGTTGCTCTGAAGTTGCTTCTGAGGCAGTCAGAATGGATTAATCTACAGTGTTGGTCAGTAGCTCATGATGTTTTCTGCTTGGTACAGCGTAAGAATACAATTTAAAGAGCTCAAGTGTGGCTTTTTTCCATGAAAACCTGAATGTAACTTATACTCCTATATCGATTAGCTAGTTTTCAGGTTTGTTTTCAAATACATTTCAGGTGCAATTGATTTCAGATTTGTAAAACTGAAGATACAGCAGTTGGATTTTGTTGAAATCTTATGTATTTGGAGGATGCGCACTCTACATTTTCAGTCAAATGTTTTTTTGAAAAGTGAACCTTGAAGGGTTAATTTTGTATTAGTTTAAAAATTATTGCATTATTTATTATAATTTTGTGAGGTAATATTTATACTTTCTTAAAAATATTATATTGTAAAATAACATACAGTGTAAATATTTGATTTATCACATGTATTGGAGTGTGTGGCTATAACTCACTAATTGAAAACAAATGTGGTCAGGAATGTTATTTGGATATTAACAACATAATGATGACATGACTTACAGATTTCATGAAAAACTATATTAGCTTATGTATAATTAATGAAGTATGCTATATTTTTCTTAGTATGAAAATCTCCTTATGGATGGACTATAAATCAAAAGCTAAGTTAGAGTCTTGAAATACAACAGCCATATGTTGCCATGGTACTGTAAGTCAAGATAAATGTTAAAGATAATAATGGATATGCATAATAAGGTGTAGCAAAACCGTACTAAGAACCTAATAGATTATTTAATCCCCTATGATTTTTTCCACTTTTTCAACACTATTGTAAAATAGCACAGCTTGCTTATAGTATAAATTTTTCTTCTGATATCCAGTAATTCTTGTTTTAGGACTGTGATTAATGCTGCATGCATGGAGAGAGCTAATGAATTTCTTATAGTGTAATTTTTGTCCATGTCAGCTAATCATGTGCTCAGATTTATTATTTTTTAAAATTTTATTTAAGGTGCAGCAAGTTAAGGATATTGTACTAATCTCAGACACACAATATCCCACTGATGATATTTCTTATCCATGTAATTGTGCATGATAACATTTCCATGTCATTAAAGTATAAATTCTGTCCTGTCCCATGTATTGCTGGTCAAAACTAGGTTTTGCTATCAAGTTCAATTTTTCCAATCTCTCATGTAAGATAAGTCTTTTATGTATGTTTTTTTGTATTTCTGTTTTTGGCATTTGATCTATGCTAATCATTTAAAGCTTATCATTTAAAGAGGGTAAAATGCTCTCTAATTAGGTGGTTGGTAAAATTTTGGTACTTTAGCTTTCTGTGTTGTTGTTAGCCATGCATAAAATGCTTTCCTATTGATCAGTGTAGAATAGTCAGGATTTAAACAGCTGACATCTGCTTACTTTAAAAAAAAGAAAAAGAAAACAGAATAACAAACCATTTCAGCCTAATCTACCTCAAATGTGTGCATGTAAATGGGGGTCCATCTATTGACCTGCATTCTTTTCAGTTGTGGATTGGTCCACACGGTTTATGAAACCAGGAGGGCTGATTTGAAATGCAGATGTCGAGACAGTGAACTACACCCTCCCCTTTTTCCTTTGCTGTATCTGTCAGGGTGAAAAATGGCTTGCACAAGGGTCAGTCACCCATACTCACTTAATTACTTTCCTTGGACCTACAGAACTGTCACAAGCTGTGGTGGATGCAGGAGCTGTTCCTCTTTTAGTGCTCTGTATCCAGGAGCCAGAAATTGCTTTGAAAAGGATTGCTTCTTCAACTCTCAGTGATATTTCAAAGCATTCTCCAGAGTTAGCACAGACAGTAGTGGATGCAGGAGCTATCGCTCACTTAGCTCAGATGATCCTGAACCCTGATGCTAAACTGAAGGTACATTTAAAAATTATTTTTTTGTAATCTCCATTATACCAGTCATTACTTGATATTGAATCAGAGACACTGATGTGCATATTTATATAGAAAGCTCTTGTTTTGGGCGTTAACAAAGTGTAACTACATAGTTAGTGACAAAGAGTTCTGAACATATTCACAGATTTAGCTGCTGGATAAGAACTGCTGCTGTGTGAGGAACAACTGAACTAATCTTTAAAGTGAATAGTATGCATTCTTTTAGAATTATTTAGTATATGAAGAATGCAACAGATATTTTTAATAGATAAAATTTACACAATTCAGTTATGAAAAAGATTTTGCATACTTAAGATTAGACTATAAGCCAGTTAATATTAAATGTATTCTTGTATTTTAGAATGTACTATCTGATATGAATACTTCTTCTTGAAGGTTTAACCACTAGAGTTTAATTGACAAAAAATTGTTTCTTAATATAATTTTTCTATCTTACTCTAACAGAAACAGGAAGCAATATAAAAATGCCACTTCAAATGAATAGATAAAAATTCTTTTATATAAGGTTTATCAGACCAATCTTAAACAAATAAAGATACTTTCTATAGATTTCACTAAATCTGAAATTACAGTTTTAAGTGGTATGTATATATATTTAATGCATAGTAAGCTTGAATGGGATAAAGCAAAGGAGGAACTTTTATTTAGGAACCAGCGAATGTTCTGTGCCATTATATTCATGCCTGAATTGACTCAGTGAATTGTAAAATAGCTGTAATTGTTTTCCCTATCCTGCTTTGTTTTCCTTGATGCAGTAGATTTTTTTGTGTGTGCAGGAGGAGTGTGTGTTGTGGGATGTTTGTATACTATTGGTTTTATAACAATTTTTGTTTACTAGCGTCAGGTGCTGTCAGCTCTAAGCCAAATAGCAAAGCATTCAGTGGATCTTGCAGAGTTGGTGGTTGAAGCAGAAATTTTCCCAGTTGTGCTCACATGCCTGAAGGACTCAGATGAATATGTCAAGAAAAATGGTGCAACTTTAATTAGAGAGATAGCAAAGCATACGCCTGAGGTAAAACCTTGAAAATGCAAATACAAGGTCATATCATTAGATTTTACACTTTAAATAAAATACAGGATTATTCTGTCATTTGCTTTTTGAAGGGGAGGGCAAATAGCTGTTTGGCACGTTCATTGGAAAAATATGGAAATACTTGCTGATATTATGAGATGTGTATTGAATATGAATTGGGTTAGGAAACTGGGAATCATATAATGTGTATCTAGCTATTTCATTCCATAAGATATTTGCGCAGAAAGGGAGTTTTAGGCTGACAGTATTGTGAGACCTAGATATTAAAAATATAATGAGAAAAGCCTCACAGAAGTTGTGATACCAGCTAATAAGTGATAAGATCATCCTATAACAACGCTAGATGGTGTATGTATTTTTAAAAAATCTTCTGGGGTGCTGGGATCACAATTTAATTATTTTTCCAATGACAAGGTCAAAAATTCTCTTATTTATTATTAAACTGATAACAGTTTATTTTATTAGCTTGAGTCTGTAATTTGAGTCTCAACATTTGCAGTGTTTTTGTCAATAATTAGTACAGGAAGGTGGGGATGTTTGGCAAAGTGAATGCAAAATAAATAAGACAACCAAATAATTATAACTATGTTAATCTGTCAGACTGTAGAGATAATTAAAAGGCCCTGAATATGACTCTGGAATGAAATAGAAGCGATGTATTTGTGGAACACACTAATGCTGAGCAAAGCCATTTCAAAATCATGATTCTAGCTTAACAATTGAGAAGTGTTTAAACATGAATATTGTGCTGTTTCTTCAGCCAGTTAGTCTTTAAGCTGCTGATGATTAAAGGTTGCACTCTTGTCACATTTTCTGCTCCTCATGAGCAATGCAACTTTGTCAAAAAAGTGAAGAAACTATCATTAGCAAGGAGGAGCGCTAGGGTCAGAAGCCAGGGGCCAAACTGAAGACTGCAGGTTATGTCAGCAGAGCTGCTCAGCACAGGATCCTCCATGCAAAGGGAGTTGGCCGGACTAGCAGCCTTCCAGAGGAGCTGTAGGGAGCATATTGGTGACTCCCAGTGGGAAAAGGAGCTGTGTCAGTCACGTGAGCGTTGTGGCTTTTGGACCTCAGCTCTCACCTGCATATGCAGTAAAGTACACGTGAAGGTCAGGATCTGGGTGACTTGCAGTAGGGCCTGAGGGTCACAGCACCAGGGAGTGTGTCTGTGCATCCAAGTGCATGTAGCTGTGCCCAGACATAGGACCTGGTCATCACTGGCTGCAGTTCACAATCACGTGAACAGTTTTTCCTAAGTAATAACTTCAAATTTAATCTAGCTGTTTCATGAAAAAAACAACCCCGTTTTAAAGGCTCTAAGGCAACTGTGGATTTTATGTTTATATCAATCAACTGGATTGGAAATCCACATGCCTCGTTTTTCTTCATTTGATACTAACTTTTAAGAAAATGATTCTTTTGCTTTGGAATCTTTGGGCGAATAGATAAGAAGAAAAGATAGAAGAAAATAATCATAATATGAAATTGTGATTTCTATGCATTGTTGATATCATGCATATGCTACTGCTGTCCCTCAAGTGATGTGAGAAGTGATACCTTTCGGAAAGAAACATGTGTGATAGCTTTGTTGTCATTTATAAGCAAGGCTATATAATTTTGGATTCTGAAGCAAACTGCACTGCCCATTCAGTGTGTTCTCTGGACACAGAGTACAGCAGTGTAGTCCAAGTCAGTTTCGCACATCCATGACAGTTGCCTTTGGCTTTATGCCTCAGTGGGGGGATCCACAAGGGCTTTTATGCCACAGAGGTTATCTAGAAAGCAGGTTGAGAGGAGGAGTGGACCTTTCTCTCTGTCCCTGGACAGACCATGTGATTTTGGCTTGGGAACAAACAGGCTCAGTATGAAAGAATATCTGGCTCAGTAGGTGCATCTTCAAGGGCATTCATGTATTAGGATGTCATTTGCATGATTCTTTGGTATATACTAATGGAGTTAAGAATGTGTAATTTCCTTTCAGTAAAGTCAGTCAGAAACAGAATAGCAAACCAGCTTTATTCCTGAGAACTGCATGCTACACTTCATGCCCAACAGTCTGTATGATACATCATTCTTATTCCAGCTTCATTTTGTAAATCAGGAGTGATACATTTAAAGACTTTTCTAACGTAGTGCTTTATGCCTGTTGATACTTCACAGTATCTAATCTCTTCCGTTTATCTTTTCAGCTTTCACAGCTTATAGTAAATGCAGGTGGAGTTGCTGCTGTGATTGATTGTATTCGCAGCTGCAGAGGGACTGTCAGACTGCCTGGCATCATGATGCTTGGTTATGTAGCAGCTCATTCGGAGAACCTGTCAATGGCAGTGATTGTTTCCAAGGTTAGCTATCACTTCGTCATCTTCCTATAATTCTTCAGTGGTATTCTGAGAAAGAGATACAAATTAACATAGGCAGAGAATGTATTTTGTGACAATTATACACTTGCTGTTGAATGCACTTTCTCCTAATTTTGCTGCCTACTGTGGCTGAAATGATGTGGTAACCTGATCAAAGTGTGTCTGTATGAAATTGAACCTTTTATAAAATGTTCTGGATTAGTTTGTGAACTTCCATTTGTATTACGGTACATGATTTTTCTGTGTTGCAATTGCATGGGTGCAGAAAATAAACCAGTGAATTTCTGTGGTCTGTTTCCTCTTAAAGTGAATATTTGTGGCTACATCAAAACCCTCTTTGAAAGAAGAATGTTTAGTGGCACGTTCTTCATTGCACTAGCATGACTCTGCTAGTACCACTAGAGTAGTCCTGCAACAGAGATCTTCAGACTTGAAAAGACCTCAGTTTCTAATGTAGTTTGGTTTGATTCAGTTGTGCAAGTGACATTTCAAATGAAAGAAGCTATACATTTTCAGGCTTAAATAAATTCTGCTGCACAAAGATATAGAAGGGAGAGAATTTACAATATTTGCCATAGGTGAAATTGGGGCCTGACATAATATTCTGATATGAATAATGCTAACTAATGACAGGGGGAAGGAAGTAATTTCATGGAGCATTGTTGGCCCATTTTCACACATTGTTAGTCATTTAAAATGTACTGTATGACTGGAAACAATGAAACAATAAAAACAGAGGAACAGAAATGCCTTATAGTAGGAATGCAAGTTAAAAAATTGAAGTTGCTACAACATGACATCAATAAGTATGCAGGAAAGTTAGGAGTGATCAAAAAAATGCTCTTCTGCATTTGAAAACTAAAGAAATAGATACTTTTTGCTTGTCCTCCCTGGAGGCCTTTCTTGTCTGGATGTGTCTCTGTCTCTACACTTTCAAGGATGCCTAGAGCAAATATGCTCCTGCTGTTGAGTGCTTGATGTTAAGTGGGTCGAATACAGGATTAAGTTAATGAGGAAGCACCTAAGCGATAAATTTTTGAAGAGTAATAATGGTTGCTACCATAACAGAATGGGAGTGCAGTGAGAGATTTTGTAAGGATCTGTGCAAACTCTCATAAAATTAAATATTTTAATGAATTATCCACAAAAGAAACACAGCACCAATTTAAAAAAAAAATTCAGTGGAAAATAAGTTTGTGGAGTGATACACAGTGCAGGGACAGGGCTTAGTAAACTGGGACCATTTTAAAGAAATGCGCTGTGGCATAACCACATGCAGTTACACATCTACGATGTTATGATGCAATGTGATAGCTCCATTCCATGGTACTGTATCCTGGAAGGATGAATTTTGGAAAAATATTTTTGGGGTCATACTGGACAAACTCTTCATTGTGGTCCTCTGCTGCAGTGCAGCGGCAATAAAAAAAAAAAAAGACAACTTAGTCCTTTGAGGTATTAAAGAGTGGAAGGTGAAGCATTATTGGAAAAGAGAAGTTAATCTATCTGTAGTACTACTGTTCTGTTGGCTGTATTTGAAAAGGATCTTGGAAAAAACCCAAAGAGTGTGCAAAGGCTAAAAAATGATCCATGGAATGGAGATAAAGGTTTTCTGGTTAGAGGTTTTTAGTAGCAATCCCTTACCTAAAGTAGCACAAAATGATTCCTATTGAAGTATCCTGGCATAAAATACCAACTACTAAGTAGCTCCATAATCCTGTGGAGAAAGGATGTCGACTGTGATCCTGAACTACAAGAACTTCAGTAACAGCTGGATGGGAATGTGGTATTCTCCATCTCTTGATGTCTTCCAATCAGGAGTTGAAACCTTTCTGGAAGTGATTGGATGAGTCAAACATGAACTTCTAACTGGACTTAAGAAGAGGTTGATAAGTTGAAATTCAGTGCTGTGGATTAAAAAAAACAAACAAACAAACAAATGAACAAACAGAGACTCGGTGACTGAGCCCTTCTGGTCTTAAACTGCTTTCATTGATTCATAAACACTCAAATGCTTTTATTTTCAGTCTGACAGAACTGAAGCCTTTACTCTTAGTACAGCCTGAATTGTGTCATGTATTCCTTTTATACCTTAAATCTGTGTTAGCTCAAACTGCTTTTTGCATTAAAACATTGAATCTGTTTCTCTCCTTCTTTAACTGGATTTATTAAGGTTTATTCAAACTTCTTGCTAGTTATGATGTTGTAAAAATATGACGTCACTAGCATGCATTCTCTTATAGCTTATTTTAGAAGAAGAGTAAATAGAGAAACATTTTCCTACAATCTGTATCAGTTTCAAGTTGTCCTTCCCTGGTGTGCGTTTGTAAAGGTTGTGCTTTTGATTAATGCTGCAGGGAATACCACCACTGTGTGCCTGCTTGGTAGAAGAACGTGAAGATCATCTTAAGGCAGCAGCTGCTTGGGCCTTGGGACAGGTTGGAAGACATACTCCTGAGCATGCACGTGCCATTGCAGTAGCAAATGTGCTTCCCACACTGCTTAAAATGTATATGGACACATACAGTTCAGAAGATCTTCAAGTGAAAGCAAGTATATTTGTAGTATCTGTAGTATGAGATATTTATTGTAATCAACAGGTATAAGTGCTTAAAAACTACTAAATGGTATGTGCTTTTATGGATGTTCATTGAGTCACAGATTTCCTGGGTGTAGAGTGTCCAAAGGCTGTGTGTCATTTATTAAGACTGGCTGGTCCTAATGGGTGTGCATATGGTGCATACCAAATCATACAGTAGAGCCACAGCAGTCTGGTGCCTCATTTTCTTCCCAGTTTAGATCAGAGTTGCATACACCCATGAATGCTATCACTTCTTGTGAGCGACAAATTTCTAATTATCTACTATTTCCTTGTAGTAGATTTGCTTACATTTTTATTATTGTAATAAAAATACTCAAAGCTCTGCTCCTGAAAACATATAGCTATTCATGTTTAGGGCCTTCCTTGTGTGGGAGCTAGTAGAGTTGCAGTTTGGAAAATTGAATTTTTGAGCGACATTAAGTGAACAAACTGAAGAGTATAATATGACAGGATATGATCTGCCATGTTGTACTATGCCTCTGTAAATTCCACTGAAATGTAACTTTCCATATCTGTGTAATAACTTTTGTATAGTCATTTTCAGTACTCACCTAAATACCAAGGCCAAATTAGCTGTACCTATAATATTATCCAGAAAGGTCATTACTGCTTGTAGCAGTCAACATTATTTTCAGAAGCTGAGCACTGATGTACAACTGTTTTATTCTCTCTTTCCCTCCCTGCCTGGATGGCAGTGCACTTTGCTATCCCAGACTAGCAGACTCTCCTAGTAAGACACTTCTAAAATACAGTCTTTTAAAATGTGTTTTGATTTAGTTTTCTTATTATATTACAGTACTTCAATTTACTTAAAGGGTCTACTCCTGTGTCCATTGTAGTCGAAGGAAAATTGCTTTGACTGTAGATAACGTAATAAGAATATAATGCACTGCAGGTTTTGAGGTTTAATAAATCTAAGTAGATTCTTAATTTAGTAATCTGATAGATATAATAGTTTTTATTCAGAAAATGCTCCTTGACAATTCTGATCAATTTGCTTTTTTGATCAGACTTCAGTGATATATAACACAAATTTTTGTTGTTTTCATTGATATCTTACTAGAGAAATTTTATTTTCAATTTCAATAGACTAAAAAAGCCTTAAAGAACATCCTTCAGAAATGCACATATCTTCCAGCACTTGAACCTTTGCTGCATGAAGCCCCTCCCAATATTCTGAAACATATTGTTGGGCAGTTTAGTAAGGTAAGAAAAGGCTCTGCTTGATGAGTAATGTGTTAATTGTTTTCCATTTAGCAAGGAAGCTATCTTTCCAAAGATGAAGTCTCTACAGTTCTCAGTTGTTTTTTCAGGGTGCTCAAGCATCCCCAGCAGAAGCAGTTTGGGGCATCCCATTCTGTTGTCTGAAAAAGCTGGATACTGTTTTATCTGGAACCTGTCATAATTCATCCTAAGAATGAAAACAGTTGCTTATAGATGAGGGTTTTTTTTTCTTCCTTGCCTCTTGAGATTAAGTGGGATATTAACTCACTTGCAAATATTTTCACTGAGCCAATGTATCACGTAAATCCCAGTCACATCTGTTTTAGATAAAGTGCAAGCTGTCTGTACAGGAGTGACTTAAGTCAGGTATTTTGCAATAATATAAAGGCTTCACCACTTTTTATCGTCATTAATTTTCTATTTCAATTAAGTGTAAATTAAGTGTAAAAATCTCAAATCTTTTCTCAATCCCTCTCGAAACTTGAAACTGTTTGTTGTTAATTACATTGTTGATTTGAGCACAGCATATAAAAAGTGATATAATTTAATAAAAATATTTCAAATTATTTAAGCAATTGCTAACTAATCAGGAAATTTCAAGTGTCTGCAATGTTCACCAGCTGTTGGGAATCCTGCTTAACTAAAGACTATCTTTTGTGCAATACCCTGCAGTGTAATCTGTTAGCAGGGGGACCAGGCTCTCTTCAGGTCATCTCATCAGGTGAGATGTTCTGCCTGGAAATGCTCACGTAAGACACTCTTGATATTAATTTCTGATTGTCACAGATGTGGAAACACTGCTGTTTGTAGTGCAGATTCCTGATTACATTGCCACACTTAAGTTTGTCCTGTCTTCTGGATAAGTCTGTACAAAGACTGGAGATTTGCACAGAATCCAGGGCCTTTTGCTTCTGTGTGCTGACTGGAGGTATTAATGAGCTGAGTGCACAGTCAGCGGTTACCCACAGTATAGATTTGAATGTTGTTTACTGTTGAACTGGTTTTGTACCCTTCATATCAGCTGATGTTTTGTTTCGTTTTTCTTCTCCTACATTGTATTAAACAAACTATACTTGTCTGGCATTTGCTCTTCTGAAGTATGCATTTAAAATTAAGTTCTCTGCAGCAAAAGCATTTTTCTCTCCTGTACTATAGCTTGGAAATTTCCTATTCTTAGAGCTGTGGTGTATTGCTTCTGTTGGTTTATTTATAGCACAGTAAAAGCCTTATTTGTGAGCTGTGCTTCAGAGTGGGATGCTATTCATTCTCAGTGCTGGACTGTGTCATTTTAGCAATATCCTTTTCAGGGTCTGTGCAATTGTGTGCTGTCTCACTTTGGACTGGGGGAAAGGAACTGTGTCTCAGAGGTGCTGTCTGTCTTTAGGGCCTCCTCCAAGAAAGTTTTCTGCTGTCTTATCCAGCCTGGGAGTAACAGTGTGGAGCAGGAAGGCAGAGAAAGGGCCATATCCTGTCTCCTTGCCAGTTCTTCCTTGGCAGTTCTTGTTGTGGGGGATACATGGAAACAGCTGTCTTTTCAGTTCCCACAGCAAAATGCTCACAGTTGTTCCTGACACTTCTATGGAGTATAGACAGGGAGAAGTCTCTGTGCTTCGCTGTTTTTTATTTACCTGTCTCTTGATTTTTTACAGCATAGAGGGACCAGAGAAGTGACGGCTGTTTGCCAATATGCATGGCAGAAATTTCATCCTTCTTTCCCTTCATCCTTGTAGGCAATCCTTTCCTCTTCTGAGACTCTTGTTTTACACTGAGATACAGTAAAATTTGTAGCTCGATTTGTCTGACCAGTGTGAAGGCTTACAAAATGCTTTTGCTTCCATAGTATGTCACTCGTGGAGTTGGGTTTAAACCCGTCTGGTTTTGTTGTTTTTTTTTTTTCTTCTTCCCCCAAAAATAACATTGTTGCAGACCTGTGGGCCTATGGACTACATGCTGTCATTCTCCCTCGCCTGGCCCAGCCCCTGCCTCCCACCTCCCTCCCTCCCTCCCTCCCTCCCTCCTGTCCTCTGGACAGAGCTGCACATTGGCATAACTCAGGGAGCGCAGAATGTATTGTCTGATCATTCCTGCCTCTCATCCCCATTGGCTGCAGAAACTTCACATTTTTGCTTTGTGTGTGTGTTTGTAAAAAGCTTCCATGGCTACACAGTGTGTTGTAGGATTTTAATATCTAGGAATTTAATAGTAGCATGTAATGCTTCAAGGCTTGCAACAATTCTCAGTATTGTTTTCATGCACTAATCTATACTAGATCATTATAATGATATAAAAATCTGCTCTACAATTAAACTGTGGGAATTGACATAAAAGACCTGAATACCTTGATTTAAGTGGAACAGATGCTGTTGTTATTCCATGTTAGTGTTCTGGTTTTATTATCTATTTAATCTCCACAATCTTATTGTCTCAATAGGAATAATTCAAGAAATATTATTTACATAAAGATAAATATTCAATTCATTATTTTTATATATGTTTTGTATGAAAGTATATGTTAAACTATGTTATAACCATAAAGATCTGGTTTATAATTTTTTTTTCTGTACAACTGGCTGTTAAAAGACAGTAGTCATTACAGTTGTTATACCTCTGATGTTCCATTTTATCTGTTCTCTGAATTAAAAACAGATAAGCAATATTTGAGCCTAGTAGCAGAGAGAGTCCTTTAAAAGATTTTCTTTAATGTACTTTTCTGTGTGTAGGTGTTACCTCATGACAGTAAAGCACGTCGTCTCTTTGTAACAACTGGTGGGCTTAAAAAGGTTCAAGAAATAAAAGCAGAACCTGGGTCACTTCTTCAGGAGTATATCAACACTATTAACAATTGCTACCCAGAGGAAGTAGTAAGGTAGGGAAAATGAAATTTTAAAAATTCATACTTATAACACTGTTAGATGTTTTTCACAGGAACAACACAAAACAAGGATTTAGAATATTAATTTAACTTCTACATTGATTTTGTTTTTAATAAATAGCATAACATTTGGTTAACTGCCCCAGTGATAACAGCTGCTAGACACACAGTTTTGAACACTTTCTCTTTTCTGATTGTTTTTGGAATAAGATTTCTTTGTCTGTAAACAAAGCCCAAATAATCAGGCTCTTGCAGGAAACTGGGAATAAAAGTCAGTCCTGCACTGCCCAGACAGACTCTGAGGCTTCAGCACAACTGCTGTCATATTAATGAATGTCTGTGGGCAGTTCAGCTTGTCTTGGTAACTTATTTATGGATTACTCAGGCTCCAAAATACAGACATTGGTGAATCTTTGGTTGCAGCCTTGACTTCCCTAAGAGCCTGTCTAAAGTAGTGTATTCAGAGGCTCCTTTGAAACTTCCTCTGATGTACAGAGCGTCCAAGGGCTCTCCTGCACACTTGCTCTGCCCACAGCTGCCCTTCCTCCCCCAGCCTCATCATGAGGCTTAAGTGTTATATAAAAGGACCATACACCAGCTGTCTGCACCAAGTTGAACTTTGCCCTTAATGAATACAGAAACACTATTAAATAGCTTACAGTCAAAATGTCACCATCCTAAATTGTAATAATGAGAGAAATGCCCTCCTAGATTCTAGATATCCATTTACCAGTCCTTCACTCCATCAACACATCAAAAGGATGTTGTACTCATGCACTCCCTCTACAGGCTCTGAAAATCTGCATCATCAATTTTAATTATAGCAGCAGAGTTCTTCAGCTACAAACTAAGTCATGCAAAATGAAGCCCTGTCTGTCTCCACAAGGGAAAGCCAGTGTCTGTCAAATGGGTAAAAGCAAAATCATAAAAGAAACTTCATTCTGCAGCTAACACTTCAGAGGGGAATGAGGATATTTGATTATGCTTTTCTGGATAGAATTAATGTGTCTTTGTTACAGCTGTTTTTTTCCCTGTAAATGAAACAAGGTTACTTATGTAGGCTGGGATGTAATAAAGAAAAGGGCCCCTTTGAGCATCTCCTGCTTGCTTCTTTGTGCTACGGCCTGATGTTGGTTGTGCTGCCTGAGGCACAGCTGCTATAATAAACTCCAGTTCTGGGTTTGTCCTGGTGAACTGTTATTTTAGGCTTTTTGCAGACTGAATGTAATAATGCATTGAAAAGTTAGCTTTACAATCGGAGAATTAATATAAGTTTTTAAAAGAGTTGCATTATGCAGATAATCATCCACAAAATGAAAATCAACAAGGTAAATGGATCTTCCTTTAGTGTGAAAACGCTGGGGATTTCTACTTGAATACATTTGAGGCATGCATTGCATGGAAGTGTGTTCCTCTTTCTCTGTAGTTAAAGATTCCAGGGCTCCGAGATGACAATTTACATGACTGCAACGCCCAGGAATGTACTGAGATGTATGTTTTTAGAATAGCACAGTAATAAATTTCAGATATGCTTAACCTGAAAAAACAAGAACTAAATGCAGCTTTGGTCATGCTTGCATATTGGAAGCATGTAGTTGGTCCGTTGTGGAAAACCAACAGAATGACAGCAGGACAATAATGGCACCACAGAGTCCTACTCTAATGAAAACCTATTGGATAATCTCTGTCCTTAGTTGGCATTAGAGACAGAAGGTCATTGTGATAATTTTTTTCTTCCAGAATCAGTGTCCCTCGCATTGATGTAGACTTCACGTTAGCTTTGGGGAGTGTGCTTATGTTTGATGAACAGCAGTAGACTATTGTTGTCTGGCAGCCTATGGTTCTGTGTAAACTCAAGCCTTTTTTATTAAGGCCTATAATTTCAAAAGAAGTTAACATCCTCATTTCTCAGTAGAGGCAATGTTTATGGCTGCTGGACCTATCTAAAAACTAGCCACTTATCTACATGCCCTAAAAGAAGCTAAACATATTTTTGAATACCTATCTACCAAGTATAAATGGTAATGTAAGTTGAAAAGCAGGCTCTTAAAATGTTGTAAGGGAATAACTGTAGAAATTCTTGACCAGTGTTTAATGCTGTGGTTTTTTCATGATCAATAGAAATATGAATAGTGTTTCATTACTTAGCACAGAACATGCCTTGTAGTCTAATGTACAAACAAAATGTTTCTCTTTCAGGTATTATTCCCCTGGATATTCTGAGATACTTCTGGAAAGGGTGGAAAATTACCATCCAGTTTTTTAAACTTCAAATTTTTATTAGAGCTGTATTTCACATTTATGTGTTTGTGACTGTAATACAAATACAGCTGTTGAAACTCTTGTTTGATTCTGAAATCTCCTTCTACTGTTTCAATGACTGGAAGAGCTCAGCAATTCCAGTAAGCTGTATTTTGTTCTTTATAAACTTGTTTGTTGCAAAGTTTTTGTTCCTTTTTGTTTCTCTAACATTACTACCAGATATTGCAGCATATATGAATGGAATTTCATGCAGGGGTGATGATTTATCACAGAAGCTTTTTTAGAATCAGTCATTTCCTTTTCCTTCCACAAGAATGGTTTGTTATTATCTCATACAAATTTTAGCCTTCTCCATACTGTAACCATTTTCCCCTTTTGCCTTTGCATATTGTTTAGAGCTTCCCAAGCTTGATGAGGGGGAATGCGCTTTTTCTAATTATGGAATCCATTCTACACTGAGATACCTCCTACTGCTACCTTTCAGAAAGTAGAGAGATGTGATTCTGCATCTCCAAACATGTTAGTAGCTGCTAAATAGAGAAATAATCACATTTGATTATGATAAAAGGGCTGAATTCTGCATGATATGACAGTGTGGTCGTCCTGGCATGGTAGATAACACATCTTCTGCAAAAGCCCTTCTAATTAAGGCAGGATTCACTACGGGGGGGAGAAGCAATACACTATTTGGTGTATGCATCCTTGCATCCTTGTTCCTCTTGGAAAGGACAGAGTGAACTTAGAACTTCCATGGGCATAACGGGAAGGACCCTGGGAGGTTTGGCACCATTTGGGTCAGCAGTAAATTTTTGTGGCTCAGAAGAGAGGAGAATTACTTGGCTACAGGAACACTGTTAGCAAAGTTCTGAGCACATTCAGAGGAACTTAAATCCCACTGATTTGAGTGAAAGGACTAAGGCTATTTGAGTGAGGGGTACTCAGTGCTTATTCTTCATGAGCTGAAATTGCTGCAGACTTCAGTTGAAACACACTTGGAGCTTAGTCTTGAAGTTGTAGGTCACATTGATGTGGAGGTTATTGAAGGTATGAGCTCTTGCCTGTCTGTGGAACATCCTCGAAATATTTTTGCCTTCTTATGTAGAGTGAAAAGACTTTTATATTCTGCTTGCACCTCTGGTGTACTGTAGCAGCAGAGAGCAACATACAAGCACTTAGTATTCCCTAATATGTAACTGTAATTTACCGGTTTTTGTTCTTCTAACCATTTTTCTTTCCCCCACATTTTTTTTCTTTCCCTCCCACAGTTTTTTGTGTGGTTCCCCCCGCCAAAGATTAATAAGCGCAATGTTTATAAAACAGGGATAGTCTCTTCATTATTTGTAAAACAGGAGCAAAGACTTGCTGCATTTGGAAATGATTTAGAGTGCCTTTTCTCTGCCAAATTCTGAATGACTACTTTCTTTTATTCTTGTGAGCATATTTTTCAACAGTTCACAGAAACATTGATGGGCTATCTCATGTTATTTAATTCTACAGAGGACTGTGCTCCTGCTGTGAGATCCTTGGTGCTCTCAGACTGCTCTTCAGGAGGAGCAGGGGATGCATGGTACCTTGCTGTATGGAGTCCGAGATGGAAACTCTTGGTGTTGTGAATGCCAGTATAGAAACCACACCAGCTGTGTTCCTTCCTTAGCCCACATCAGAGTGAAAAGTCCTGGAACTGACTAGCTTCTACCAAATGCCTTTTCATTTTTGGTGTTTATATTCTGAGATTATTAACGCTAGGACACTAGTGGAAAAACATTAGGTCTATTAAAAAGACTGTTGTAACACTCAATAATTTTCTTACATGCATTATAGGTATTTAAAAATCAAATCTTGTACAACCTCTAAAAGAAAATGTAATTGAAGAGCTTCCAGACAGTCTTGAATGATCTGAATCCTTTATTTTCCCTAATGGAACAAAAATGGTGCAGAGAGCTGAATGCAATTGCAGTGGTGATGGGAGGCAGGGTAAGCATGGAGCTGCGCGCCCATAGCTGCATCGTGTGCTTGGGGGCACACCCACACCACACAATGCTAATGTATATGTTTTGTACCGAGAGAGCAAAAAGGCTTCAGTCCCCTGACAAATGTGCTCCTGCTGTGTCACACTGTGCTACACTGTAAGGATTCCACAGGGTTAAATTTCAATGCCTAAACAATTTGTTCACAGTCTTTTCACAGTCTTTTTCTGATTCCTGACAAAGGAAATGATTGCACGAGGCAAACCTTCAAAGCAATCTGATTGTGCAGAGCATATTCTAAATCAGACCTAGCACAAATACATCTTTACACCAGCCAGGTGGTTCTGTCCTAGGCCAGTGGCTGGTTGGCCTCTTGTCGCAGGACTCCCCTGGCCGATGCCACATCCTGTGAGGCTGTGGCATTGCAATGTCCTCTCCCACATACTTTGAGACCCCCTCAGCTCTCCTTTGCTAGAGGCTGCTTCCCTGCATTGTATGCATACCTTGTGGCTGGAGGTTTCCCTGCAGTCTGCACAAGGCAGATCTAGCCTTTACAGCAGAATTGTCGCTAATTTGTATTTCAGGCTTACATTACCAGGGCAAGAGTTGCTTTTTTCCTGTTGTGTCTCACAAGCCCTGATGTACAGGGTTTCTATTCCACCCTCTCATTTGGCTTAAGTCATCATCTAAAACTATATTAATGATTGTAATTGCTACTCTGGCAGGCTTCAAGTGTGTATCATTTGTCTCAGTTTCATAGAATAAAATGTAGACTTGCATTTTAATTCATTGTGTGAATGCTTTTTTCATGCTAGTTTGTGACTGTAATGCTACAGAAGATGAAGTCTCATTTTGGAGCTTGAGCCTGACACCACCTTTGGATGTTTGTCTTAGCTTACCACTCAACAGTGCCTACTTCTGAGCTTAGGACATACGAGTATTTCAAGAGTCCCCTCTCAGAGATGTGGCTTATTAAGACACACAAAGAAAATTAAGCCAGTGCTTTGACAGAAATAAATGTAAGTGGAGACAGCCCTAAAATAATTTTGCCAGTTCCTTTGACTACAGCATTGGGACTTTTCAACCCAAGTCTTTAGAGGTCTTCTCTGGGGGCCCAAGATGTGATTTTTGTTTACGTTACTACAGCTATTATTACATCTAGAGTTGTAAACCAGGGCCTTGAAAGAACATCTGGATGTGTAAAATTTTACCATATTTCATTCAGTGGATGGATTAACTGGCCTACAAAAGCTCCATTCTTTATCTGAATGACTGGAAGCCAAGACAAACTGGAAAGGGGAAATTACAGAATCACAGAATCACAGAACATTAGGGATTGGAAGGGACCTCAAAAGATCATCTAGTCCAATCCCCCAAATTCAAGGAGTTCAACTCTTGTGCATATAGTATGTTCTGCATTTCCAGAGGGATTTACCAAGGGATTGCTTTGTCTCATCTGAAGTGATCAATCTGCCGGAGATCTGCATCTTAACAAACAAATGAACAACATGTTGAAGGAGCTGAATGGAACCGGTGAAGGAAGAAATGGATCTCATTTTAAGGAGTAAAGCATTAAGCTTCTGTAATTAGGAAGTGGATGAAGTGTAGCTAGATCCTCAGTGTTCTTCATTTGGTCTAGGAGGCTGTGAATTAGTTTGACTAAAAGGGAGTTTTAGGCATGGAGTATGCCATGGGATAGCCTTCAGCTTCTGGTGTAAATTGGAGTCCTCTGATTTCTGAGAATGTAGGGGTGGCTGACTATTGTCCCTTCAGGTGAGGAATCTGTGAGAGCTTGCTTGCCTCAGTGTCTTCCTTAATGGCTGCTTGGTGTCCAGTATCTTGGTTGTTACAGTTTTAGATCTCACTATGTGATCAGGATACAAAGGAAATATGGAGTCCCACTAGATTGCAAAGCCAGTAGTTCCACTTCTTGCACTGACATAGGATTGCTTTTATGGTCTTGGATAATTATTACAAATCCCTATGTATCATCATCTTCTGCTGTGAAATATCTGTTATACTCCTCTGTTAACTTGCGGAAGTGCTGGAAAAATTAAATTTATACGAGAGGTCGATGCAGCAGAACTGAAGTTCTTTATAACTAATATGATACTCAGCAAGGAATAGTGTTCAAGAACTTATAAAATTGACCTAGGAAATCTTTGAGATGCTGATTTTTAGAATTTGAGTTGAACTAAAAGCCTGTGGATTTTGTGAGTTTCCTCATCTGACACAATTTGAAGGAATCTTAGAGAAAGAGGAAATTACAGTGTCTCTCATGATTATACTAAAACTATTGATGTCATTTTTGTATAATACTTAACTGTTAATATTGATGCTACTATGCTGTATTCTGCAGTCAGCTCTATAATTTAGCTAGTGAAAACACTAATTACGTTATTACTGCTGTACTGTATTTCTAGATACTGCACAAAAGATTGAATTAGAAAATACTTGTAAGTGATACTGAAGCATATTTTGTTGATGAGAATACCTTTTGAACCAAGGAATGGTATCGTGCTGCCTTTCACAAGAAGTTACTCTTGGGTTAAACACATTTTGTAGTTGTTCTTTTTCCCTCCCACCCTGAGGTCTGATCACAGGGCTTGCTCAGTGCTCAGCGAAGTGCTGAGGACCATGATCTGCTGTCTGTAGCAGAAACTGGTTGTGTTCGCTGTTGCGCAATGGAAAGCTTTAGAGAGGAACAATGCGAGTGTATTAATGTCATCATCTTAACAGATTTCCATAGAGATTTTGAAGACGTGCTTTTTCTTCATAAAAATATGCTTGTTCCTACTAGTTCCTACCTCCAACCTGAGTTAAAGAATAGGTACCCAGATTAACTTAAGCTATTCTATATTTTGTTCCCTTTATAACAAAAATTAAATTTTGAGAGGGGGAAAAGCCTGTTAATGTCTATCTTTAAAACAAAGTTCTTGATTATTTTTTGTGTCAAACTCAGCAACAAAGCTCATTGTAATCTTGTGACAAGGTCCATGCCCTTTGTTCTCAAGGAAAGTTTTGTCTTCACTGATACAGGCTAGTGATTTGTTTCATCCCTGTTGTCCTATTCATAATTAGGTCTGATGGCCTCTGTACAAGTTCAGCTTTCAATATTAGGTCAGTGTTAAAACCATTATCAACCTAAAAGGTTGGATTACTATCAAGATTCTGCCTTTGTTGCCCCACAGTGCTATAAATTATATTATAATCTATTGT